AATTGAGTACGTATTACTTTAAAATATAAAAATTCTATTATAATTAAATCAACTTGAAACAAAATATCAAATAACAACCCTGCCCTATTTAACTGTTTAAATAATATCATTTTAATATTAATAATAATATCTAATCTATTTTGGAATGTTATTATTATTATTATTATTATTATTATTATTATTATTTATTATTTTAGGAGATTCATTACTACGAAGTTCTGGTGTTTGCACTTGTTTTTGAGCTCCAGATTGAGTATTTTTAACTGTTTGTTTGTTTACTTCTGATTTTGTTTCTTTTACATTTTCAGACTTAACATCAGAAGTTACTTTGTTAACTTTTACATTTTGTTTCGAGGAGTCTACTGGAATATTTGGTTTCGTTGCAACTGGTTTCACTGTTTCTGATTTTGTAGCTGTTTCAACATTTTGTTTTACAACAGGTTTAGTTGTGGTTGTCGTTGTGGTTACTTTTGGAGTTGGAGTTGTCTGAGATGCAGTACTTGGTTTGACAGTAGTAGGAGTAGTAGTAGTTGGTACTGAATTTGTTCTTGGTTTGACAGTGGTAGTTGGTGTTGCTGTCGTTGTACTTGGTTTGACGGTGGTAGTTGGTGCTGCTGTTGTACTTGGTTTGACAGTGGTAGTTGGTGTTGCTGTCGTTGTACTTGGTTTAACGGTGGTAGTAGGTGCTGCTGTCGTTGTACTTGGTTTGACAGTGGTAGTTGGTGCTGCTGTCATTGTACTTGGTTTGGAAGTAGTCACTTTTTCCTGCTTAGTAGAAGTTTTAGGACTTTTTCTAGTTTCCATATTTTCAGCAGTTTTGGTTACAGGTTTAGCTGTTGTCGTCGATGTTTTAACTGTAGGAGTTTCTACAGTTCTTGGTGGTTTAACCGTAGTACTATGTGCTTTTGGAATTTCCTTCGTATCTTGTTGATTTGAACGATGTACTAATTTTTCCATTTGTGCTAAATGAGGAAAGGCTTGTTTTAAGGGTACCCGAGCTACAAATTCGTTATGCGGTGATCCAAACCATAGATATCCTTTGTGAATAAAAGCAGAGCTTGTAGTTTTTATCTTTCCGTCCGTCGCATATGCAACATCAACAAGTTTTCCTGTCGCATCCAAATTCAATACTACCGATATTTCTGACATCATGAAATTCATTGTTTCAAAAGAACCAATTGCATGAACTATTCTTTCCGCAAAAAAATTTGGATAAGCATCCTGTATTAATTTAAACGGAGATTCTATCAACATTAAAAGTCTTACTATCATTTTTCTTATATTTGAATGCGGTATTAATGTTTGTATTAAATTAGGATTTTCCTCATCTACATAAGTATATAGACTAATTAGGAAGCCACCATTATTATCTTCTTGTATGTTATCTGGCATACCAGGAAGACCTTCGTGCAATATTTCATGTTGTCCTGCTTTAGGTCCTTTCAAATAGTACTTAATAATACGCGAAGATAGTGTTTCTACTACCAGTAAAAAACTTTCATCTTTACTTAATTTAACTCCATTTGCAAACGCCAGATTTTCAATTAATACTTCATTGGTCTTCGTAGCTGCATTATATCGAATAAGTCTGTAATTAATAATAACAATGTAAGATACACATATATATTTATATATTATAAACAATTATAAAAAATTATACCTTCCAGATGGATTGACAAATGTAGAAAATAGACCATCGTACAAGTGGAAATCTGTGCTAGAATCTGTCCAAAATACATCACCATTTTCTGCTATATCTAAACTATTAGGTAGTTTTGGAACTTTATTATTTATTGGCTTAGATATGTCTATAATTAGCTGATAATATCCTTCAGGATCAACTTTAAAAATACCCTTATAAGTATCAATAACGTACAAATTGCCTTTTTTATCAAACTTTAAGCCCAATATTTTACCACACTCGTGATACTTTAAGATTTGATCTAAAAGGTTTTAATAACTTTCATTATATTTAGGTATATATATAATTATGCATACAAATAAAATAATGTTTTAATACAGTTCATAGAAATATAATGAAAAACTTTATCAACTTACTGCACACTCCTCCAAGTGCTACAAAAGGTTCCACTTTTTTTTCATTAATTTTAACAACGTAGCCACCTTCCAAGCCAGTATACAATTCTCCATTATAAGAATCAAAGGTTTCTGGACCTTTAAACTCTCCAATGTGCAATAATTCAGCTCCATTTAAACGATTATTAATATCTAATTTTCCACTTAGTTTAGTAGATGGTTTTATACTGCAACACACATCATACATAGATAGACATATATATTTATTTATTGATAAAAAAGAACAAAATGGATATTAAAAATATATTACCTGTATTCAGAAAATGTAGCATCTGGTGGAAGTCCGGGTAAAAACGTAATTATAGCTAATAAAAGTGAAATATAAACGAAAACAGTACCTAATGTTTTAAGGTACCCCATTACAGAAATGAGAATAAAAGCAAACAAAAGGAAAAAAACAGAGAAAAGAAAAATTGCACAATTTTACAATGATTGGCACGATATACTTTTTTCTCTTAAAAAACGATTTATTGTACAGCATTCGTTCGTAGACTCTTCTTAAGCCAATCAAATAAGAATAAAAGAAAGAATAATTTATCTAACTGTTTCTTTAATCGTTCAGAATAACGGCATACCGTAGACTAATGGCGATACGACATTTACCAACTCATAAAAATCTACTATTCATAAGCAAGATATTTTTAAACCTGCCACATTGACGGAAGTATTAATTAAATTGATTTCCGTTTGACACACGTGCACCTGTGTAATAAGTCTTGTGTAAATATATAAAACAAATAAATGCGAACTGTTGTGTCATTAACGATACACGTTGGAACGTTTAAATAAGCCGCGATACGATTAAGCAATTATGATTACTTGAAAATGATTATTCGACAGTTATTATTACTGAATTAATAAATATAAATATTTCTCAACGCTATATTATCATTTAGAAATATTATTAAATGTATTAATTGTATTTTAATTATAACCGTGAAATTTGTATCACGTAGTAATATTATTTTTATTATTTTGATAGTTGGCAACATTGCATTGATAGATTCTATCGATAGATTTCTATTAAAAAAATGGCGATTGAACAAAGTGGATTATTAATTCGTATGTTGATATGAATAAATTATTTATGTATATTTATTACATTTCTTGTGAATAAGTTAGTGTAATTTAAAACTTGTATGTTATATAAATTACATTTTTATTTGTATTTCTTACGTTCTTTTTTTTTTTTTTACTTGAATAAATTAGTGTACTATTAAAGTTATAATTTTTTGAAATCATATTGATAAAGTTATGACGATTAAACACATTTAGGTACATAAGCTTTTTTTAATATACTGTGAAATATTTTTATATGAAACATTTTCAGATGATTTAGAAGAACAATGTGAAGAAGCAGTCTTTGAAGTTTGCGATGCACGAGAACGTTATCCAATATTATGTGCTGAAGAATTAGAAAAATGTATTAGGTTAACCAATGAAATACAGGTTATAATTACTTTTTCAAATTAACATATTTTATATTAAATTTTCTTTTTAATACAAATAGTATACATTTATAAAATATTATTAATTAATTAATTAATTTAATATGATATGCACATTACAGACTACAAAAGTTGTGCAAAACATTAAGAAATTTCATGACATAAAACCTCTGACAGAAGAGCAAAAAGTACTGTCATGTAATGCATTAAAAAAACAAAATTATCCATTTAAACGTAAAAATAAAGTAATTAAAAGCATAAAAAGTAGAATTGATAATTTAAAGATGGTCGTTGAACAATTGGAAAGGGAAAAGTTATTTGATATAAATAAACTGTTAAATTCATAATTTTATCATAATTTATATTTCATAACAATTTTTAAATAAAAAAAAAAATTGGAATACAGAATATACATTTGTATAGAGTATCATTTAATCTTATTGTTATATAAGAAAAAGCACTCCCTAGTATTTTACGTACTGTGTTGAAGCTATTATTCTAATGTTTACTACTTTTCATTAATTTAACATAGGCTAAAGAGGAACTATTGCCTATAATACTGGAAATACTGTTTATGTTCATACGTTTGACAACAACTTTAACGCCTCTTGTAATATCTTCTATAAACTTTAACATCTTTATCCGTGTACTATTACTTTTTACATTAGTTTCTAAATAAGATCTTTCTGCATGGCTCAAAAATTTCTCTTTGCAATTATTACTATGCTCGTTATGTTGCATTAAATCCTGATAAAATTCTTCTGTAATGTCTTGCAATTTGTTGTTAGGCACACGAGAATTTTTTATTTTAACTAAACCAGTCGACATCTTTGTATTGTATTTACAAACTTTTTTTTCTTTTATACCTTTTTCTTTTTTGTTCATCGAAGAATATATTTTACATTTAGGAGATGATAATGTTTCATAATTCTCTATTTCAAAGCATTGCTTCTTTGCGTTGTCATTGTCATAATTGTCAGATCGTTTTCTTTTTCTATTTGGCATTTCTGTTTCTTCCACGACTGCAATATTCGAGCATACAGTTGACGTGTCATCACTATCTGTTTCAATATTATCAGTCAGTGGCGTTAAATGTTTTTCTACATTAAATAAATCAGTCTTACATGATTTCATTTCTAAATTTGTTGATTCATTAGGTAACATTAAAATTGTATCATTTAATGAAGTATTGTGCAAGTTCGATTTGCTGTTTATAGATGTATTGCGTTTTGTTAATCTTTCTTTGACTATTTCTTGTAAACCCCATGGAATTTGATCTATCGTTATAATTTGATCAGAAATTATTCTCGGATAGCTAGAAGTACTATTTAAACTAATATTTTCAGAATTGCTACTATTAGCAATTTTAGTACCTTCTGTACCCTCTGAATCATTCAGAGCTGATTCGACTATAGAATGATTTGTGACATTGAGTCTTTCAGTAGAATTAAATGTTTCTTTACAAATATTTGCAGATTCGTTATCACAGGATTGAATTTTTAAAGAAATATTATTTTCTTCGCTTTCCAAATTATTCATATTTGATTCGTATTCTTCATACTGTAGGCATGACTTGCTCGATGTAGGAATATCTTGTAAATTAAACATTGACATGGACGGATGCATTGCATTAATCTGTGTATCGATACACTGATTGCTAGCAGAATCTTTTTTTATAAGCATCGAATCCAAGGATAAATTATTGTTTATATTATGTAATGTACTTTTACTCTTACAATTACTTTTAATAATCTCTTTAGGCATTTCAATCATCGTTACTAAATTTGTTAATTTCAATAAACTAGAATTTAACAAACATTTCTCTCCCTCTTTGGTTTCGAATTTTTCCGAATTTTCTAATACTTCATCCGTATCCGATTTTGTTTCTTGTTCCACAACCGATACACTATCTTGATCCTGTTGAATCATAAACATACGACCTTTCATTATTAAATCGGTAATATTAGAAGATTTTACCATACCATTGTCCACGTTTTTTTCAGATTCTCCAAGCTTTTTTAATTTATTATGATCTTTAATCGTTTTCTCGTAACTGATTAATAATTTTTTTGAATCCATTGAAAGATCATTTGTACATTGTTCTTCATTAGTTTGTGCCATTTCAGGAACTTTATTTTTTGTACAATTCTTATCATTTGAATTCTTTTCTTTTGATATCTTATTAACATACTTATTTTCAGACTTGGTTGTAGAATCTATGCTCGATTCTTCATATACGGTAATTGATTTATTGGCATTCGACAATGGATATTTAACAATCTTCTTTGCATTTTCTATTTCTTTTTCTATTAAATATTGATACGGTAAGTTAGCGGAATCTATAATACCTTCGTCGTTTGAATTAATTATATTACTTCCTTGTGTTATCACATTACCATTTAATTGTAATTCAGAATCCTTTTGTTGTATCAGTTCTTGGAATTCTATTCGATTTAATGAAGATGGTTTCTCTATATTATTATAAAATTCATCCTCTTTTCTTTTTTCTTTCTTAAATGATATCGAACAATTATTGGTTTTATTTACATCTTCGTTTTCTACGCTTACGCATTCATTTGTCGAAATATTTGATAAGTCCCTATCATTACATTTTATTATATTAAGTTTATCTTTCGTTTTTTCATTATTTATGCTTGATAAAGCCAAATTACTTAGATCATCATTTAAATTTAAATTACTTATATGCTTATTCGTATTCGTAACATTGACTTTTAATTTGTAAACATTTGAATTTCTTCTATCTGTTTTAATATCACTTTCTAAATGTTTTACTTTATCTCTCTTAAGTATTCTCGATTCATAAGTTTCATCTTTAATAATTTTTATAGTTAACATAATTGCTCGTGAAACTGTAGTGACTTCCTTATGAGTCATAAATTTAAGAGTGGCAAACATTTTGTCCTGACGAGTCCACGATGAATGATCTAAATTAATTGTTAAAGAAGCACGTAAATAATATTTGTTGTTGTTTTTTTTTTAATTTACGAAGTATAAAAAGGATACTGTAAGTCACGAGAATATGTTTGGTAACAAATTGTTGTCCTTGACATGGTTGACTTTTAATAATTCTTCTAATAACTTTCAGTAATTCTTTTCCATATGCGAATTCCTTAAGATCTCTAAAATGAGACAAATAAATGCTAATAAAATAGAATCAATGTTATTCCTTTAAGTGCAATTTATTACCTCATCGTATGATGATACATAAAAGAAAATTTATAAATTTTATTTTTATGACATAGCCAATAAGACCCAGGTATAGTTAGTTTAGATTCCTCCTGTTGCTCGAACCAACTAAGTTCGCTAATTTTGTGTATATGTACTCCAGGCATTTTCTCTCTGGTAAAAGATTTTCAAATAAAGGAACCAATTTTATTTGATTTCTACCATTGACCGATTCCTTTACTATGAATGTTAAATAATATAAAACTCTTTGCTGTAAATAATATATACATGTATATATATATATATATATATATCATTTTTGAATACGTGTAGATGTACAATTATTTATTATTATTTAACTTACTCTCGTAATAACTTCGTTGATAAACAAATCTTCAACAGTATCCCAAGGTAAGAACGTGTACAAGTTAAAACCAGCGAATCTTTTCTCTACAGTAATGTGTATACCAATTGATGGTACTATTAATAATATATCTGCATCAAATCAAAAGAAATATTTAATTGTGCATTCTACATTTATATATTTAAGAAGTTAGTAAATGTATTAAAAGTTCTAGAATTAAACAAACCCTTGTTCGTTGAAGTAAGGTAATTTTTAAAGTACAATATTAAAGAGAGAGTAGATATAAGAAAAGGTATAATACTATCAAATGTTATCCACAATAATAACGTTACACAAACAAGCGAAATACTGGAAACAACAACATTTACTGGCTCATCATTGTATAATATGAACTTTATAACACCATAGGATTTAAAGTTAGGGCTCGAACAGCCTTCGCTTAATCCTAACTTCTTTCCATCTACATTTCTAAAAGAAAGCTTTGATGTATCAATGCTTTCTGAATATTTCAATGACATTAAAGATAACTTTTAATATTTTTTAAAGCATGGAAAATATATCTTAAAAAATTTGACAGTTTATCAAATTGATTTTCTTAGACAAATTATATCAACTCCTTTTTTTATTTTTAATTACATATTATTAATATCAACGTACTATTATCTAAATTTTGTTAAATAACTTATATTACAATATTATTATTCTGTTTACAATTACTTCGAAAAACCTTAAAGCGATTAAATAGACCACATAGAACATTATTAAATTATATTGAAAAATGTGCTATAGTGAAGTAATCGAGTTGCCCATCTTGTATGTACAAAAACAAGGTTAATACTGACAATAATTCTATTTAATTTAATATAATAAAATATTTCAATATTGCAAATGCACAAACGTAATTTTATAACAAAATTATAATATATAATTTAACATTTTTAATAAATAAAATATAATCTTACATGACTAGCGCGAATATAATGGCGTTCGCTGATTTGCTGTTAGTAATTTAATGAAAAGGAGCCATAACGATTAATACGCCAATGAAATTATTCGGACGAATTTCAAACAAATGAAAATCAAAATGAGTGATATATGCAATTAATCATAATTTTTTATTAATAAATAATTAAAAAAAACAACAATATATATATATACATATATAACGGATATAAATACAATTCGTATCATTCGGTGGGTGTATTTGTCTACTGATATTATTTTATTTGCATTAACGTTTATCTTGAACTGAAAACAATAAAAACAAATGAAATTATTATAACATTTTAAGGACGATATACATCGCGTAAATCTCTTATCGCAAAATCATAGTTTCTATAGAAATGAATGAAAATAAGTAATAAAAAAAAAAAGAAAAAAAAAATAGAAAAAAAAAAAGAGAGAAAACAAGAAAGCAAAAGAAAAAAAGATAGATGCATAAATACAGAAAAGAAGGACAGGGGAATTATGCGCAGACGTAATGTTTTTTTGAAGTATCTCGATTCCCGTGACAGTAGAGGGAGTGAAACAGCACCTGCTGCCATTCTGGCATTACGTCAATGGTGGTCGTCTGATTCGTTCGTTTGGGAGGAGTTGCTGCGACCGCCATTGTTAGAGTTCCTTTGCATTACTGAACGTGATTAGTGAATTCGTAAAATTATTCTTATTTCGTGAAGGTTTTTATTCGTAGTTTTTTTTTAAACGTGAAACGTTAATAGATTAGAGGTGATAAATATATAAGGAAAATATATATTAGTGAACGTATTAATATCGACATATTATGTCCACGATGAATCCGGAATAGTAAGTAAACTTCTCTTTCTACGTAAGCATCGTAGAGACAGAGAGAGGAGATATATACTTCATCATTTTTTTCAACCATAACCCATTTATTTTATTCTCTCTTTCTTTCTATATAATAACGATTCTAATCAATTGTACGAGATTAACGTTAAAAATGATTTTATTTCATTTAAATATCTTTCCTCTCCGATCATTTAAAAAATAATAATTCTTCCAAGCTGAACTATCTGACAGATCCACCTCTCCCTTCTTTCTTCTTCTCCTCCTCTTCTTTTTTTTCTTCTACCTCCCCTTCCACCGTCCCCATTTTAGAAGTTCATTCTCTTACGTTTATCATCATAGCTTTCTTTCTTTCTTTATTTCTTTATTTCTTTTGTTGCATTTCTCAATGTATTATTTACGTTTGTCCTTATTGTTAGATATATTGAATATATTTAAATTGATATTATTAGTTAACGTTTATATGCATTTACGATATACGTTTACTTGAAAATATGAATTATTTGATTACTTTTTTTGACAGTTTAGGAATGGTTCAATATCAAGCTGTATATATTGAAAAACATATGTACATTTTATAGTAATGTTAAACAATGAAATTTAATTGATTGGTACCTTAAAATTATTTATATTATTTGTAATATGTTATGGATCTAATTTATTAAATCAATATTGTATTTAATGTAAGCTAGAGTTTAAATCTTTTTATATATATATATATATATATATATATGTTTTCACAAAACATAAAATGTGGCGCAGTTAGATTTTCTGAGAAATATATGTGTGTGTATGTTTTTAAATATTTTTTTTTACAGTAAAATTGTATTGAATATAATTCTATGAAAGGGTAAATTTGATTTCAGTGATTATTTGTTCAAATTGTTGTTAATTGGAGATTCTGGAGTTGGAAAATCGTGTTTGCTGTTACGTTTTGCCGATGACACATACACGGAAAGTTACATCAGTACCATCGGTGTAGATTTTAAAATAAGAACAATTGATTTAGACGGGAAAACAATTAAATTGCAAATCTGGGATACGGCGGGTCAAGAAAGATTTAGGACAATTACGAGTTCTTATTACAGAGGTGCGCATGGTATTATTGTCGTTTATGATTGCACAGATCAAGATACATTTAATAATGTCAAACAATGGTTGGAAGAAATTGATCGTTATGCCTGTGATAATGTCAATAAACTTTTGGTTGGAAACAAATGTGATCTCCATACTAAAAAAGTAGTCGATTATACTACAGCCAAGGTATATAAAAACATTGCGAGCCATTTGTTACGCTTTTATTCTTATTCAATATTCTTTATTTATACATTATTATATTCTATTGTTTATTATACATAAATATATTTCTTTAGGAATACGCAGATCAACTTGGTATTCCGTTCTTAGAAACATCTGCAAAGAATGCTTTGAACGTAGAACAAGCATTTATGACAATGGCTGCAGAAATAAAAAGTAGAGTGGGACCACCATCGAGTGGAGCTAGTGATCCAGCAAACAAGGTTAAGATTGAACATGGACGTCCCATTGAGACGTCTAAATCCGGGTGCTGCTGAGAAATGTAATTTTGATTCTCTTTTACCAAAAGTAAGATTTAATTTATCTTATCCAAAAAAATATATATATACACAACCACCGCGCACTTATTTATCACATCGAATTCTTCCCCTCTTTTGAATGTTTCAATTTATTTTTCTTCTTTTAGAAACACGCGTTGCAAAAAAAGAAAAAAATTAATTGCAGTTTTATACTGCGACGATTAAACTCATTACCAGAGACAAAAAATATGGGAAAAAGGAAAAAAAAAAAAATGGAAAAGTCTTCAGTTTAATATTAATAGATATGATGTGTGAAGTGTTGTCACGTATGGACCACCAACTCTGGCGCAGAGTTACGCAACAATTGTTTGCCCTCCCTCCCAGCCCCCCTCAAAATTATTTCTTTTTTGTAAAGGGTGAAAACAAAAACAACATGATTTAACTCTGATATGATTATTTAGTATAAAAGTGAACAATGTATAGAAGAAATAACGACTTAGTATTACAATGTTCAAAGAAACATGCTAGACGCGTACACATGGGCAATTTAAATTACAATCAACAATAACAACACAACATAAAGGAAAAATAAATTAAATAAGTTTTTCTGTATGAATATTAGAAAAATAAGCACTTTGAGTTTCTAGCTTAATTGTAACATGTATAATTTATAGTTATTGGGCCCTATATACCCGCTTCTCTCTCCCCCCCCCCGCCCCCCCCGACCCTTTGCCCCTCTATAAGATCCAAACAATTTTTCAAATGTGTCTGAGGATTGCATTATTTTCCTATTGAAAGTTTACCGTTCTGTGAGTGCATTTGTTTTTTTTTTCTTTCTCTCTATTTCTCATTCTCTCTCTCTCTCTCTCTCTCTCTCTCTCTCTCTCTCTCTATCTCTCTCTGATCAATAACGTAATTTAATATAATATTAATAAATATTTCAATGCATTAAAATATACAGACACACACAAACACATATGTTACATATACTTCTATGTAAGGTGGAGCATAAATATGTTTAAAAAAAGATAACAATAAGCACCTGCACGCTTCTTAAATTGTATATTATATGGAAGATGCTTATTATTACATTTATAAAAATTTCTTAGTAACTTCTATGTAACTTTGGCCTCGGTTACATATTTCAAATCGACATTTCACTAATATTCGACCATACTATTACAAGGATCATTTTAAAATAATACATTTATATTATTATTGTTATTATCCTCTTTTGCGTGTGTGTATTAAGTAGAACTATAAATTCGTGAAATGTTGATTTAAATAAATATCTTTTCGAATTTTATTTCTAGAAGTGTTACCTCTCATTCCATTCGCAATTATGTTTCGCAATGATGCAATGATGTTAAAAAAAAAAATAATACGACAAAGTACACAATTACATTTTGTGTCGTCGTTAAATTGCAATTTTAAATTTGTCTCATAAATTTGTGATCGTCTAAGTCGTATTGGTGAGATACGTAAATGCTCACAAATTATGAGAACAAGTTATTTCATTATTTTAATATTTACATTTGATATATATATATACAAATATATATATATATAGATATTGGGAGAGGCGCGGTAATTTTAAACAAAACAAAACGGAAAAAAAATGCAAAATTTTAAAAAATATAGCTCTATAGAAGATAAGGATAACAAAATGCACATTTAACAACTTTTATACGTGAGGGAAGTTATAGTCAAATTTTAATTACTAAAGAAACTAAAGAGAACGTATCTTTTGTACAAGATATAAGAGTCACTGTATTTGTTTCTTTATACATTACTATATATCCAATGTGCATAAATAAGATATATCGTCAATATATAGAAGAAAAAATTATTTCATTCGAAGAATTATATATAAAATTTATATTGTGCTACTAATACATTGTTATGTCAGCTAATTATTAATTAATTAATTAATTAATATAATAATAATAATAATAATAATAATAATAATACGTAAGAAAAGTTTTTAGTACTCGGGTATATACAATGGTGTAATTACAAATACACATTATACAATGTGTGAATAAAAACGGTATGTGTCAGTAAAATGTAAGTACCATAATTACTTAAAACATTTCCATCTCATTTTTGTTAGTAGGATGATAAATGACTACGATTGTTAATTATTTTATGTAAGCTTTACACTGACTTAGTTTTACGATTAGAATTTCATGAGAGTTTGTATTTCGATAGTTACAATCATTTTCGATTAAAACTCTTTTTGTAATCGATTCGTAATCGTTATTTATATATGTCAGAAATTGCGCATACAAAAAGGATAAAAAATTAAAATAGATATACAAGTATTTTGCACAATTTATTTTCATTTCTACAACAATGATATGTGCAAATTAGATTCAGTTTAATATGTGAATCTAATTACTGTTAAATTTTTATTAATAAATCTCTACAAGCTCACATTAAGAAATTTAATATTCATAATAAAATAATAATTAGAACGAGTGATTTTAAAGTTACCAATATAAAAAATAAGAACAATAAATTAATTTTAATATTCAAATAAAATAAAAATTATTGAAGGTTTTTAAAGAGAATTAGCATATTTGTGACCATTTCATTGATATATATATATACATATATATATATATAATATGAGAGATTTTATATAAATTTATTTTAATAATTATAAACAAAGCCACAGGTAAAAACAACATACCTTTGTAGTAATACACACCACCTTTTGTTTTTTCCTTTTTTTTTTTCTTTTCTTTTTTGTTTTTATAAATAATTATAAGATATTGCTTTGACGATATCGATGAAATTTTTAAATAAAAATAAATAGATATTGTTTATATAAATATAAAGAGAAAATATTTACTAAGCTTTTATTTAACAGTCACGCGTAATATGAAGGTGGTATTAATAAATCTTGCAACATAGTTAGTTGCCGTTCTGTAAAGTGTTGCGCGTGCCCATTTATACCGTTCCATCCATCATAATGTGTTCTATTAAAGTCACCTAATACTTTTCTTATGGTTGTCTACAAATGAACACACAATGTATTTAGATTTTAACTGATATTGTATCTTTAACTCCTTGCACTACGATTTAACAAAAATCTGTGGTATATTTTATGCTTCTTATGTTTCTCCCATAAGATCCATCATGAACTTTACTCGTATAATGCAAGAAGTTAAAAGGGTAACAACAATTATATATTTTTTCAAATATACTAACCGGTATAGGTTGAGGATCATTCAAATGAACGTCAAGATGTTCAAAAATTGGTGGCAAATAATCTGGTATATCGTATGGGTGTGCACGAATAAATGCACAAAGTCCTAATACTCCTGCATGTCGCAAACGTAATGCATCCACATTCGCGTTCCTTTCCGCTTCTGTTTTATTAGGCATCAAACGACCTCTTTTATGCAATTTTGTCTTGGCTTTAAGTTTAAATTGTTCCTAAAATGAAAGAATTATTTTCGTTATGATTTTAATTCTATTACTTTGTTTAATAATCTTATTAATCTTACCAATAAAGCATTTTGATCTGGTATAAAACCACAATGTAATAATCCACCAAGAACGTGTCCAGCTTTTTCTCTAACTTCCAAACGAATGTCTTCTAATAAATTGATAACAACATTTTTAATACAATTTACCCATTCATCTTTCATTAGTACTATGCTCATGTTATAAAAAATCGAAGTTTGAAGAAATTCCAGACAAGTATCTCTCGCCGACCATGATACATTTTTAGACATTTTGACAATTGCATCTAAAACTATAGGCATGTCGTTTGGTAATATGATCGATTGCGCAAGTAAAGATAAAGAATTGGTACAGATTTGAACCAATTCGTCATCCGTTTCATAATTTTCCATTTGACAAATGATAGGAAACAATTGATAAAATTCTGGCAATGCACCGCTTGGTGATTTACAAACAAATTGTGCAATCCATTTACAAATAATTTTGAGCAATCTAATAGTTGCTTCGCGTTCGTTCATATCCAATTTGGTTTTATTTACAGAATCATCGGACTTGAGATCGTTAGCCGTACTCGACGTTAAAGATTGTTTATTCTCGTTAATCAATTCCTCTGAATTTTCTGCAAGTAATTGCAATTTAGGAATTATTTTATCTATGAAATGTTGTGCTTGTGGTATCGCTCGATTCGGATAAGATACTGGAAATCTAAGATCCGCTTCAAATACGACAAATAATAATGCACCTATTCGGTCCCTTAAATTTTTAAACGGATTAGTTAATAATCTATTTTCTAAACGGACTAACAAACGTTGCATCAATTGAGATAAACGCCATGGTTGGAAAATAAGAACCCCTTGTAAAACGCACAAACGTCCAGATTCTATAAATGATGATTCAAATTCTCCTAAAGAAGGTTCTTCCATCAAGCATTCTAATAACCAATGTTGTCTATTTGGATCTCTACAATGCATAGAAAGCGATATACTCGTAGTCCAATCTAAAATAGTTTCCGCTGTTAGATTATCCAATGCCAATCTTATTATCGGTAATAGTTCATTCCACATTTCGCAAATCATTTCAAAAGGCCAATGTTTTGATCCTTGAATTATACCAGAAATTATTTCGGTTGCACATCTTTGTTTACTTTCTTGTTTATCTTTAACCAATGCATGTAAATGCGGTACGAAATGTTTTAAAGGAGTAATTCCATGATTGCGAAATATACTTTTAAATAAGAGATACTTGTAACAATTATATCTATCTTTATCCTTTTTCTCTTCTATACTATAAAATTCAATAAGTTTTTCAACGTTCTGAGGATTATCAAAGAAACGTTCGACCTCCATCTCTTGATCAGTGAATTTACGGATTTTAGTATCAAGAGTTGGTTGTTCCGATGACGGCGCATAAAATTCTATCATTTTTGGCCATGTATAATAACCAACATTTGGACGATGAATAAATCTTCGTTCGTCCCATTGTTTTGATGTCGTTGGACGCGTATTGTAATCGTATTGTAACCACGCATTGTCTGCCCTTTCTCCTGGTATCACAACATCAGATAACAATTCTTTTTTACATATATCTGTTATAGGAACAGCTATCTAAAATTAAAACAAAAATTAATAGTATGCATTTAATAGATTTGTTAAATATTACTAACATTTTGAAAACAAATATAATATCACATATCAATTTACTTTTGGATGTTTTCTTTTTTGTTGTCTGAGTATATAAACAATGATACGTATCGCTATCTTCCTTTCGTCTAACGAATCGTGAATTAATGTTTCTAGAAAATATCTCACTGCCTTTGACGAAAATATATGATTTTCGTTGGTCAATAATCGTATAAAATCCATAGACATTAATCTATGTCTCCAATGAAGATTTGTTTCGAGAATAGCATTTAATAAATCATCCACAAGTCCATAATATGCCTCTAAATTAGATCGAGACGTTTCTTTCAATCTTTCTATACCCCTTTGTATTTCATTTTCATTAGGTCGTGATAATGTAGGATACGGAAAATGATCCCATAATTTAGATGCAGCCGTAACACATCTATCCGGTATTTCTAATTCAATGGAGATATTTTGATACTTATTTTTCATCGTATCAATTAATTGTTCTTTTAATCGTATCACCGAAAGTTTCTCTGACGGTTTGGAAAGAATTAATTTTGGCCATAATGATCGCAACATATGCCAATTACGTTGTATTATAAGAGGATCGTTTAACGGACGATGTAAAATATATAAAACTCCCTGTTTGTGAAAAGAAAAAGAAAAAATGATTGAAATAAGTAAAAAAAAAATCATTACTTATTTTGATATAAATAATTATTAATAAATTGCGTACCTTGTAAGCATCGTGATGTATTTCGGTATCTTTTTCCAAAACATTGATTAAATGGGGAACAATGAACGTATACGATAATGGAAATGTTAAGAGACCAGAAATAAGAGCAAATTGTGCTTTGTTGCGTACATTGGCATATCTGCTAGTAGCTAACACTAAAAGTTCTAACATTATATTTTTATGGGTTTCCGTGAACTTGTGCGATTTCATTTGGAGCCGTGTCTCGTGTTGAATAATAGCCTGTTGCAATATAATATGTTCCATGCGTTTTTTATTTCTCACCAATTTGTCGCTCAACAAATTTTGGGTTCTTTTCAATTTTTTTTGTCTTTCCTCGTAAAGATCCTGCAAACGGTTCTCGCCTAATAATAAAAACTCCCATATAAGCACCAAACTGTACAAACATCTCGTTTCATCCTCGACATTTTTTAATAATACGTTTTGCAGATTACTAAATATATTAATTAAATATTTCTTCACGTTACTTCCATCGGGCATAACTATTTCAATTCTTTCCCCACAAGTTGGATTAAACGATGTCCATTTTAATGATGATTCGACGCAAGGAAGCAGAGGTTCTTCCCAAAATGGTAAGAAATGCTCGCACCCTTTAATAATAACGTTTACAATTTTCAGAACGGCCAGGAGCTTCTCTCTATAATCATTTATCCATATTTATGTTATTAGTCAATGTATATTTTAGTCTAAATAAACAAAATGAAATGAAATTGTTAATAAGCACGAAAAGCTTTTATATTTTTGCATTAACATGGCGTACAAACAAATATAATATTTATAGACATTGTTAAAAAATATTAACAAACAAAAAAGAAAAAGAAAAAAAAATAGTACGATACGTACCTCGACAAAAAATTCCAATCTTGACAATAATTCTGTAATATTTCTAATTGCCGTGGCAAATATCTGAAGAATATTTTTTTAACCATTTCAAATTCTTCTTTGCCAGGAATGAACCAATCTATTTGAATAGAATTAATATCTACTTCTTCACCCCAATTTCTAGTGTAAGGATATTCCGGATCATTGAAATCCCTTCCGTGAGTTTTAAATTGATAAATGTCCAATGTACTTAATGAACTAAGTAAACATTTAAGTAATCGACAAGCATAATAATTTCCTTCTTTCGATTCTAATAACAATACTTTGTCGAGAATCTCCACGAAAGTATTCATATAAGGTAATAAATTTCTACCGGGTGTTTGAGTTATTGCGGATAACAAAAGCATCGAGTATAATAAACGATTATCTAAATTTTCTTCCATTAAAACATCATCACCTTCACCGACTATATTTAATATCGTTTCAGATAAAAATGGTACCAAAGCACGTAGCGTTTCTTGACCATTAATATTTGCAAAAACCCGACAAATAACAGCTACCAATTCACCGGCGACCTTTGTCTCTAAAATACGTTCGCTTACGAATACGCGTAATTTATGTAAAGCACTTAGAAATATTGCATCGCTAGTTTTAAGTAATAAAGTTGAGAAAACAGTTTCTACAACTTCTTCCGCTAAAATTTCTAATTTGCTTCTACCACCACCGTGATTATTTTCAGGTCTTATAAAGTCTAACGAACTGGTGTCTATAAATGTAAATATTCTATCTAAAAATTGCAGAATAAAATCTTCAAAGCGCGACGTCATTTCACATATCAATCTTTCTTCTTCGTCTGCTATTGCAGATGATTTTGACGAATCAACGAAGGGTATTAAAAGAGCGTATACGGAAATTAAACGTAATGTAACGACACACTTTCCAATATCGTTTGGATCTATACCAGGAAGAAGTGAAAATAAAATAGGTACGACGTGCATTGGACCTTCCGCATATGTATATCCTATAAACAAACAAAGATGAATATATTAAAATGCATTAAAAACTTTCTTAACGTCATGATAATAATAATAATATATATATATACCATTACCTTTATTTATATTTCTAGATCCTTGCACCATGGGCTTAGCTATAGCTACCATACTAACCATAGCTGCCGTGAGTTTATGAGGTTCTGTGAGAGAATCTAACGTAGCATACATTCTATCAACGACCTGCGGTATCACTAAATTAGGTCTCATATTAGCAAGATACTGTAAAGCTAAACAAGGATCAGTAGAATTTAATCTGTTAAACATTGCTGTCATAGCTAGAGGCATCATGCTCTTAACAAAAATGTCTATATCTTCATCGGTTAATTTGTACTCGTCAGGAATTGGTGTTTCCCACGTTCGTTTGGCATATCTCTCTCTACGATTGCAAAATGTTGTCTTATTAAATAGATTCATTTATATAAATCAATTTATTATATTGAATTAATAATATATTTACTTATGAATGCGTAAAATAAAACGATATGGTAACTTTGTAAGGAATTCTTTCAATTTTCCAGACCATTTACCAATATTGGCCGCTTGGAAATACGTTTCTATACTTTTTAAAAATTTTTCAAGATATATTTGTGCCCTAGATTTATTACCCTGAAATATATTAATACGATAATTTAATTAGTTATCTAATATTAACGATTATTATATATGATACGTCAAATAATATTTTACCAAAACGGACACTATCCATAGAGCTATAGCTAACGTCTCCATTTTATGAGTTTTAATGTCTTGCGTTTGTTTATACGCAACAGGTAAATTGAAACACCGTACAAATCTAGCAAACATGAGAGGTATGTACGGTTCCCAATCGATATATCCAATATTTTCAGATGCTAATGTAGCCATTAAGATCATCATTTCAGGTTCCCACGAAGCTCCATTATGACATACATTCCATAAGTTCATAAATTCATGGAACCATAATTGGTGTCCTAGCGAATGATGTTGTGGTGGTAATTGCACCGGTAAAAAATTTTCTATCGTTTTAAAGATATTCATAAAGTTGTCATTAAACGGACATATCATTGGCCTGAATTCGTCTAAGATTTCTTGAGTTGCATTTAACTAAAAATATTTGAAATATAATTGTAATATATTATACATGTGATCAAAAAATATAATTAAAGTATTAAGATTCTCTTACTGGAAAATAAATTTTGCATAAACGTATCAAGGATGCTAATGAATGTGGTAAAAGTGGATGGTAATGATACATTCCTAAAGCTGTTGTCGCTCTCCATAGTATCTTTTTATTTAATTCGTATATAGGTCTCCATGGAAGTATCAAATCATCTGGAGAAAGTAATCTTTTCTTTCTAGAGATAACAACCAAATTATTTATATGATAATTAATTATCGGATTATTATTATAATAATTATTATAATATCTTTTAATTGAACATGCTAATATAGGACAAAAAATACTTACTTTAACAATAGAATTAACATATTTCCAAATTCTCTTATTTGACACGGATCGATATCTGGTATAGTAATTAATTCGTAATATAATTTAACAAAATATATATGATCTTCTTTGCTGAACTTGAAGCTATATAATTTTATATATCTATAATAAACAAATGTATATAATTTAAGACATAAATAGAGTTGCTAGTATATAAAAATGGTAGAGAATTAAATTTATGATATTCCCTTTAACTGTTTGAGTCCCAAAGCACTGTTCAGATTTTTTGTAGAAAAGTATAATGTTATTAAAATGCAATGTAACATTGATCACATTGCTTGGAATTCCTAGACATTTTTAAAAAACCTTGGGACTCTGACAGTTAACACATATAATAAAATATATTATTATAAATATGATATAATGTAAATATGTACTTTTATAAACTGTAGATAATACAAGCACATAGAGTAATTTAATAATAACAGTTTGTAACAGGAATAATAATATAAATGTATGGATATATGTATATTATTTTTAATAGTAAATCTCACTTATTTAATCTCTTCGTCCATAATAAACATCCAGGTTCTATTTCACGGTACATAACAGCTTGTCCTAAATTTCCTTTAATATCAGCCAACATTGTCTCAGATTCAATTTCTAAATCTTCATAATAAGGTAATAATTTATTATGAATATGTTCCATTTGATATTTTTTCAATTTTTTTGAATTACTATTTTTATTCATATTTGAATCTTTCAAATCTTGAACATAGTCAATGTCCATTTTTGGGATGAATTTCTTCTTAATTAAAATTGAAAATTATTGATGATCTATTTCACAGGTCTACTCTTTGTTAAAGTGCACACAATACAATGCAATATCACTGTATTAAATTAGTTGCAATGTCTTTATTCTTACTCATTTTTATCAAGTCATGTTATTCATGGTAGGAACCATATTTGATAGTTTAGGTTGGTAAAGATTTACCCTTCCAATATGACATAATTGCCATCATACGAATAATAAAAATTTTAATATCATTGTAAGTTTATCGACTTGCATACACTTAATATATGTATCATTCAAATAAATATTAACAATTTTTATACAATGATCTAATTATTATTGTATTTCATTATTATAGTCAATGAAGATACAACATATAAAAAGAAAAAATAAATAATTATTTAAAATTATTTATATTTAATTTTACATCAAAAAATTGATGTTTAAACAATTGAAATTGTAAATAAAAAAAGGATTAATTTCGATTGGTTAGTTTAATTCTTTATCCTGAATGGTTGAACGAACTAGTTATTTTAATGAGGGGAGTTTTCAACAAAAAATTGGACACATTGTTTTAGTGAAAAATAATAAAAATCCCTTTGCCGTTTATTGGCGGTGATATAACTAGAAAACAAAATCATTATAAGAGAATCATATGTGAAACAAAAAGAAAAATAATATTTATCTATTATTTGACTACGTGTATCGAATTACGTAACTGATATTTTAATCTTTTTTCTTAGATAATCAATTAACAGTAGTGCACTTAATAAAATATATATTATTTGATATCTAGGAATGTTATCAAATTTATATTTGTAATTGGTGCAATGCGAATATGTATATATAATATCCATATGTTATGTGTGTATGTGTTGATGCTATCAGATGCAATGATAAACAGTTTATAGTTCTAAACACACTTAACATATAAATTAATATTTAAAATAAATACTTCACGTTTTATTGTTTATACAATTAAATGAGTTTTTTTTTTTATATATATATGCATCGCTTGTACTTAAATTTATAAATTAATTGTTATACTTCAGTGAGAAAAATTTATTATATCCGCGTCAAAAAAAAGAAGAGGATAAAAAGGGTTAACCTAAACAATTTGTATGACATTCACATAAGTTATTTAATGTGAATTTATGTTATTTGGAAAAATATAATATGAAGACAAGAAAAACTTTTGCCATTCTTGGAGCAGGATTAATTCTTGCCTGCTGTTTAATGACATATTTAATGATGGATCTAACATTTTTTCCTCCAGGACAGGATACTAAATTGTCTATGCACAATGTAAGCTTATTACATGTTTACTTTGCATCAAATTACAATTGTTATATATTTTTGTTCAATGTACATTTGTATGGAATATTAATGTATATATAATTTTCATTCTTTGTTTTTTTTTAGAATCAATGGCTACATTTTGAAAGTAGATTAGCTAAATTAGAGAAAGATTTTAATAAACATCATGAAGTCATGAGCGCTCTCCAGGAAGCAGCTAAGGTTAATCAAAATTTAATACCAATAGTAAAGAAAACAAATAATCATGAACAATTGGGTCCAATCCAAAATAATATAGAGAAATTACCCGAATGCAATTTTAATCTGAATCGTACACCTGAGGTAGATATACAAATGTTAGATTTATATAAAATATTGGATTTTGACAATCCAGACGGTGGAGTATGGAAACAAGGATGGAATATCAAATATAATAAAGAACAATGGCATCCTAATAGAAAATTAAAAGTTTTTGTTATTCCGCATTCGCACAACGATCCAGGATGGTTGAATACGTTTGAGAAGTATTATACATCGCAAACAAGAAACATATTAAATAATATGGTAACCAAATTGGCGGAGGACAAACGTCGTAAGTTTATTTGGGCAGAAGTTTCGTTCTTTAAACTTTGGTGGGACGAACAATCGAAGGTAACACAAGATTTAGTCAGGAATTTAATTCACGATGGACAATTGGAAATAGTAGCAGGCGGATGGGTTATGCCGGATGAATCTGTTTCTCATTGGATTGCTCAACTTACTCAATTAACTGAAGGACATCAATGGTTGAAACATAATTTAGATTATGTACCAAACTCAGGATGGGCGATTGATCCATTTGGACTTTCTCCAACTATGCCATATTTATTAAAAGGAGCTGGTTTAAATAATTTGCTCATACAAAGAGTACATTATTCGGTTAAAAAGAAATTAGCCAAAGAAAAGAAATTGGAATTTCGATGGAGACAATTGTGGGACAACAATGGTTCTACAGAATTGTTTACTCATATGATGCCATTTTACAGTTACGATATACCTCATACGTGTGGACCAGATCCTAAAATATGTTGTCAATTTGATTTTTATAGGCTTCCTAATTTTGGTTTAACATGTCCATGGAAAGTTAATCCACGAGCTATTAGCAAAGCAAATATAGTGGAAAGAGCTACGTTGTTATTAGATCAATATCGTAAAAAGTCACAACTTTTTAAAACCAATGTGTTATTAGTACCATTGGGTGATGATTTTCGATATGCGCATGTTGCCGAATGGGATGCTCAATTCAACAACTATCAACATCTTTTTGATTATTTAAATCTAAATCAACAACTGAATGTTGAGATACAATTTGGAACGTTGAGCGATTATTTTGATGCAGTAAGAGACAAATACAATTTAGAAGACTTTCCTACTTTGTCTGGAGATTTTTTTACTTATTCCGATAGGGATGACCATTATTGGAGTGGTTATTACACATCGAGGTATGCTATTGTTGTATATCATTTTAATATTATAAACAAAATATATTTGTTACCTTGTTAATAATAATATTATTCTTTTGTAGGCCATTCCATAAAAGATTAGATCGTGTATTATTAGGTTCCTTAAGAGCCTCTGAAATTTTGTCGACGATAGCATGGGCCAAAGGCATTTATCATTTAGCTGAAGGAAACATAGCACTTAGATTGAATAACGCTAGAATGTGGCACTCGTTGTTTCAACATCACGATGGTGTTAGTGGAACTGCTAGAGATAACGTAGTTATAGATTATGCTCAGAAAATGATATTAGCATTAAATAATACAGCACATGTATTACAACAATCTGTTATGCATTTATTAAAAACTTTAGAAGGATCAACAATTGATCAAGAAGCCCACTTCCTTACATTGGATGAGACTAGGTTCGAAAACAGATACTTATTCCTAGTTAGTATCTTTTGCTGTTTGTAGAGGTTGTAAGGTTCTTATCATATTAAATAATTTAATCGTTATAGTTTTCTTTCTTTCTTTCTTTTTTTGTAATTATTTTACGATAAATCACACAAAATAACTTAAGTTTAATTCAATTGTTTGTTTTATTGTTAAAGGTCGCACCATACGAGTCCTGGAGAAAAACATATACTCATACTTGGAGATGAATATCCTAAAAAAAAAGTTATATTATACAATCCTTGTCCAAGACAAAGAAGAAACATACAAACTTTAATCGTTTCAACGCCTTTCGTCAGAGTTACCGATCATACAGGACAATACGTTAAATCACAAGTATCGCCAGTTTGGGTCGGACCTGCTGCACTATCTGCTGCTAGATATGAATTATCTTTCCTTGTTACTGTACCAGGATTTGGGCTTAGTACATACGTTATACATGCTCTTCGTCAACAAGTATTTCCTTCGTAAGTAAAAATATATATGAAAAAATAAAGAATACAATAACAATAATTTGTTAATTTATAACGTTATTTTTTACAGAGATGTTTACGCAGCTAATGTCACAGTTTTTAATACTGATTTACCACTTACAACAGTGCCCGGTTTTCCTCATATGCAAGTACAACCTCTCGCTCAAGAATTTTCCATATCGCAAAGAATAGAATTATCTGCGTCCTTTGGAAAATCTGGTTTCCTAAAAGCTTTAAAAGTTGACAATGTTACATATCCCGTTCATTTAGAATTTGTTAAATATGGCACTAGAGGTTCGGGTAAAGATAAAAGCGGTGCATATTTATTTCTACCTGACAAGCCAGATCCAGATTTAATATTTATGGAAAATAAGCATATTATTCATCTGGTAACTGGTCCTATTTTATCTAAAGTTTTTGTTGAATTACCATACGTACGCCATACTTGTATATTATATAATTCGCCTGGTAGCGACGGCATCGGATTAAATATATTAAATGAAGTCGATATAACAGAGACACAAAATTACGAACTTGCAATGAGATTAAACACGGATATAATGTCCGGAGATCAGTTTTTTACTGATTTAAATGGTCTCGGTGTAAGTACTCGGGGAGTATCTTCAATATTTTTCTAATATTTTTCATACAATTCATTATATATAAAATTTTTAATGATTCCAGGTAATAAGACGGCAAAGATTTCCAAAATTACCTACACAAGCTAATTATTATCCAATGGCTGCTAATGCATACATCGAAGATAAGCATAAAAGATTAACTGTAATAACTGCACAGCCACTAGGAGTTGCTTCTATGGCATCAGGACAAATAGAGGTAATGTATGCTTGTACGCGACTAATAAATAATTATAAAATATATAATTATAAAATAATTTAATATTACACTTGCAGATTATGCAAGATCGAAGATTACTTCAAGATGATAACAGAGGATTAAGTCAAGGTGTAACAGATAATTTATTAACCAATCATTTGTTTACTTTAGTATTTGAAAGGAGGAGATTAAATTGTCCCGCATCATCGGCTACTGGTCATCCTTCAGGTTTGTTATCTGTTGCCGCACATTTAGCTTCGGAAGAACTATTGTATCCGGTAATAGCAATGCATCCTCATAATATATTGCCATATAATTTGCAACCACATTTTACTCCGTTGCACTATGATCTTCCGATCAACATAAACGTTATTAGCTTAAGAGTATTGTTTGTTCCTGAAGGAGCTGGCAAAGGTATTGGTATGGTTTTATATCGAACTCCATTAGATCTTTGCTGGGGCTCAGAAACTTATTTGCAGCAATTTAATATCTCCAATACGGGAAAAATAGATTTATCATTTTTAAATCCTTTGAAAGATATGACAGTTAGCAAAGCTCCTCTAACATTTTATGATGTTGGCTCATTTCTTAAATCACCGATTGTCACTTTGTGTCCCAATGAAATCTTGTCTATTTTATTTCATAAAACGCAATATTAAAATAAAAGGAAAGATATATTTATAATACAAATAAAAATCTTTTCACGAAGCGACAGGAGTTAAAACCTGTTTACTTAAAATTACATAATCTTTCTTCTCTGAATTTGATGGGGTTGTGTTGTCCAATTTGAAACTGCAAATAAGAAGATAATATATGATCGAAAAAATATATCAAGAATTTTGTATAAAAACTTATATGCTTATCATATAAAAACTTATCTGATAAGAAAGACACATTTTTAATGATAAGACTAATATATCTTTGAGCGAAACTGTAGATAGATATTTATAATTACTAGACACATTAAATAATTAAATGAAGTTTCTTGTACAATTATACTTAAAGGCAAGCTTTTTTAAAGTACAATTATTTAATACTAAGCATTATTATAGATAAATATATATAAATATACATTTATATATATAAATTCTATATAATTATATATAAATATATGTATATTTATATAAACTTAGAATTTATTTAAGAAATACACGAAATAATTGATTAATTATTCTACTTATGGTTAAGTCTACCTCAAACCCTGTACTATCGTCTTAAGTTATATATTAAAACAATATTTGTGATTTTAGTTGATACGCCATTAGCCTTGTATTTTTATTTATAGAAAATTTGATTATTATTATTAATAATAATAGTAATAATAATAAATAAAATAAGAGTAATACGTAGAATTAAAATACTCTAATGAATTAAAAAATATATAAATTTTATTACCCAAGTGCATAGAAGAAGTGTAAAGCAGGTGGATTATTTTTCAATACGGTCAATACAACTTTTTGCATTTTATGTTTGGATGCCATAGATTCAAGAGCTTGCATCATAAAACGACCAAGGCCTTTACCTCTCGCTGATTCTTCCAATTGTAATTCGTAACTTGACAGATAAATACAATATTTTTCAAATACACATTTTATCGTCTGTTATATTGTAGCAATAATTTATATACATTATTTTTATACTTACCAATACAATACTTCGACTTGATAATCTATGTCAAAACGGAAATGAGAAAACCCTATTAGTTTGTTATCGCAAGACGCTAACAAATACCAAGCAGTTGGTTCTGTTAATTCTTTTTGTTTAGCATTTGCATCCCATCCCCAATTAGATTTTTCATAAAGATGTCTCATATTTCTTTCCATAATATCGAATACCCATAGACGACATTCAGACGATGCTGCTCTGGCCTTAATGCAAGTTAAATTTACTATAAATTCATTTTTTCCTGTATATGTGTGACATGTTTTAAGCATTTCCAATGGATCTTTCATGGAATTAACTTTATTTATAATACATTTGGCACGAGCTAGTTTTTGTGATTTGGAATGTCGTTTCATTTTTATTGCTGATCTATTGGACAGTAACAAAATATATAAATTATTTAACTTGCATGATAAATAATAAATGCATGTGCAATAAATACAAACAATATTTAATTTTTGATAATAAATATTTTTTTCATTTAACTATTTTGTATTATAAATTTAACAAGTTAATATAGATGTAATTATAGTGTGTATATATCATGAATAAAGGTTCATTTAATTAATTATACATGTACACACATATATACAATAATAATAATAATAATAATAATAATAGTAATATTTATAATACAAGAAAATTTATCCTATAAGTTCATAACTTGTAGAATTTGATTGAAGTTAAGTAAAAATATACATTTTATTACGAAATAACAAATATAGTAATAATAATAATAATAATAATAATAATAATAATAATAATGATGATGATAATCGTTTTATTAATAGCAATAATATAAAATATCTGTTTTAAAAATTAAATTTATCTAAAAGTAAACAAACATAATGTACAAAGGTAATTCGAATGGTATCAATAGAATTAATCATTGACTAACCTCTTCAAAATGTAAAGTCTTCTAAGTTTAGTGATATCAACAATGTCGAAGTGAACATATTGTAATTGATCCTGTCAAAATTTCGTTCGTTTAAGTTATCTTATTATTTAGAAGAATATAAAATAAGGTACGTTTAATTGAAATTAATACAATTCGCGTTTAATAAAAACATATTATTAACGATATTAATTAAACAGTTAAATTAAAAGTGGTTACGTGAGTTTTCAATTATCATGATTGTCAAAGTATGACACAAAAGTATACACCTAGTTTTAAAAATAATTCCAAGTAATTTAGTATATTGTAAACTTTATACTATTTTCTAAGAAGTATTTGAAAATATTGTATTTGTTTATTTTACTTAATGAAATGAAAATGTGTGTATGTGTGTGTACATAATTATAGGTTAAGATTATTTATGTTTATTTTATCAACTTTATGAAATAACTCAATCGAGGATAAGCTTATTTTGAATATTATTATTTATTATTATATTAATATATATTTTAAAATGATGTGTTTCAGGTATTCTTAATTAAATAACAAACGATGGCAGAAAATCCTGCTAGTTCTAATTCAGAGGAAAATGCTATTTCCTCTGATATGACACGATGCTATGAAAATTATATTATTGTTGATGTCGGTGCCAATCTTACCAATAAGAAATACAGTCGTGATTTAGATAGTGTAATACAAAGAGCTAAAGATGCAGGAGTCCAGAAGATTATGGTTACGGGTGCAAGTATTCGTTCCAGTAAAGAGGCTTTAAGACTGACAAGAATATATCCCGGTACACTTTACTCGACTGCCGGTGTACATCCGCACGATGCTAAGTCCTGGGAAAATCCAGATACTTTACAAGAACTCGAAAGCATAGCTACTAATCCGGAATGCGTCGCAATTGGAGAATGCGGTTTAGATTACAATCGTGATTTTTCGGATCCTGAAACGCAACGTACTGTTTTTCATAAACAAGTAGAACTTGCGTGTCAATTAAATAAACCACTTATAATACACGAGAGAGCAGCTCAGGCAGACGTATTGGAAGTTCTCAGTCATTACAAAAATCGCTTACCGCCAGTTTTAATTCATTCTTTCATCGGCACTGCTGAGGAAGCACAAATTTATCTAGATCAAGGATTTTATTTAGGAATAACCGGTTATCTGTGCAAAGATAAATCAGACAGCGGTATTAGACAGTTGTTGGAAGCTGGTCAAGCACCGTTAGATAAAATATTAGTTGAAACGGATGCTCCTTTCATGTATCCCAATACAAGAGCTAGTAAATTACCTGTACGTGTTAAGGATGCTTTAACCGAAAGATCCATGACTTTTCTTCATCGTTATTGCACCTTTCAACGTAACGAGCCATGTGCCTTGCCAGCTATAGTAGAAATGGTAGCAGCATTTATGCAAACAACTCCCGAAGAAGTTGCTTTAGCTACCGCTTTTAACGCTTTGAAATTATTTGGTCTAAACGCGTGATTTCAATCTGGACAATATCAAAATTGTTATCTAAGGTGGTGCTAGTTGGTGCTTCACAAGATTTAGATATTGGTGCTAAATATATGCTATATCTATTTTTACTCTAATAATCTGACTCTATATAAAATTTATTCAATATTTAACATCAAACGAAATACTTCGTTGTGTTATAGTTATGTAAAGAAAATTGAGATATTACAAAAAAAATAGTAATGAATTTCAGCACCAATATTTATGCTTAATTTGTTATTCTATATTATATATATGTATATATATATATAATATTTTATTTTTATTTTATTCGAAATAAAACTGGTCTTCGGAAACATTTGAACATAAGGAAACTAATAGTTTTAACTAGGAACAAATAAACATATATATATATTATGGATTGTTAAATTGTTACTTTCGTACTTTTAATTGTATGTAAATAAAAAAATAACACACTCGAGGAGTGTATCAACTCCAAATGAAATTATAAATATATATACATAGTAATGATTTTATCTCTATATATAAGAATATATATTTTCAAGAAGAAAATTAAAATAGTAAATTTTCATATTATTCATTTTTCATTAAAATGATGATTATATACAACATACGATTTAAATCTATTACTTTTTTTTAATTGTATCCAATGTACATACAAGAAACATTTTGCCAATAATAACATGTTTATACCTTAAATGGTATAACAATATTATAATAGGTTTTACCTTAAATATTATTAGCTATAACTTTACTATGCTAATTACCAAACTTCCTTCATTTCTTGTCGATATATTAACTTTTCTTTATATATAAATAAAAAGAAAAATATCTTAACTAAAATTTAATATTAGAAATTAAAAAATATATATTTCTTTTTTAATTTTGACATACGCTTTGTAGTTAATAGTTTATCGAAGAGACAAAAAAATCGTATAAATTATATGCGTATTGTGAAAGAAATACGAAATCTATATTCTTGATTAAAACTGTTTAATATTCTCTTTAAAAAATCCATTGGTAATATTACGTTATTTCAAAAATATCAGAACATTTATCTTTTATTTTTTGCATAATAGATTTACTCTTTTCGTGTGGTAGCAAATTTATCCATTTATTTATGTTTATCGCGATGCATTTATATCCGGTCCATTTTTCTATACATATTATTTGTGATTTCCAAACACCTAATAATTCTTGTGTATTAATAGCATATGATTGGGAAGGATATGCTACAATGAGTACACTGTAAAAGTAAATATTTTAGTGAATATTTGGTAAAAAATTAAGAAAATTTCTTTAAAAAAAATAAACAAGACAATAACAAACAGATGTCTGCACAAATATTTTATTAATAAAATATTAATATTGAAAGAGAAAATAAAATAAAATACTTACATGATAAGGTTTGGTTCGTATTGCAAATCTTCAACGTAATAATTAAAATTTGAGAAAGGTTTAGGATTATTTACATTAAATGCAGTGGGATATCCACCTTTTCGCAAAATTATAGCATGATCTATAATACAGATTAATATAAAGAATGTTACTTAAGTTTTATTTATTTTTTTCCGATACTTCATTTTATGGAAAAGAATAATATAATACTTACGAATGTTATGTCCTAATTTTGTTTTTAAGTTACTCGCCACATATCCAGGACCTCCCATTGTTTTTTCCACATGTATTCTTAATGTGTTAGTAAATTTTATATCCAACGAGTTGAGTGTTAATTTAAGAATAGATGAATTAGGCCAAGGACCAAAATAATACGGATATAATGATTTGACGCTTTGATGCAAAAAAAGCAATCTTTTAGAATGTATATTATTTCCTATATTTGAAGATAATAATTTTATATTTGTCTCGGAAAAGATTTTGGACAATAATTTAGGATAAAATTTATTTAACGCTGCTAAATGAACGCCGCATTTAAGTAATACTTTGACTGGAGTTTCATTTAGAAATTTATCTTCTAATAATTTATTCTCCAGAATAAGCCAAGGAACTGAGTGATATTCAGCGTTAGACAATATTTGTAAAATCTCTTGTAAGGAATATGCATCTACTTTCTCTATATATTCTTTTTTTAATATTTCAGTTATTAGAAATTCTATGAATGGTAGATAAACAAAATTAATATTATTTAAATATCTTGTAATGTTGTAAGTAGTATTTACACTCAAATTTTTACTTATCACAACATTAAGTAATTCATTGATGAACGTTGTATCATAACTATGAGATATTTCCCTGTATAACAGAAACATTACTATTATTATTATTTAAAAATAGTTTTAAGATGTTTTAATATATTATGGAAATTACGATATTTACTTATCTATCATGCTTCTAGATATTTCCTTTAAACATTCTTCTATATCGGCTGGCGTCATTTTATTAATGTTCTGAAAAAGCGCTTCGCGTATCATACTTATGGTTTTTTTATTTTCTTTAGAGATTTGTTTTTCATTTGACAGCATACTCAATGAAATAAAAATATTTTTAAGAGTTGTCACTGAAACAGACTTAGAATCGTTCACTAGTGCAGATTGTATACTTTGATAAATTTTAATAAATATGTAGCGTTCATCCACATATTTCAAGTAATTCAATGCCAATGCCAATTCTTTAAAATCTGAATAATCAAACTTTTTTGTTAAAATATTTGGAAGTAGCATGGGTAATGCTATCTGTAATGCTGATGATAACGGCGTTGGTTCCATTTTTTTTAATATTACTGCTAACAAATGCATTTGATTGATGTCCAGTTGGTTTATATTACTTTTTATTACTTGTAGCAAACTTTGCATTATCATTGTATTTGATGGTGTATTTAGCAAGTTCAATAACTTAAGAGATTTTATAACACTACGTAGGTTCATGTGTCTTATTTGTTCTTGTATCTGATTGCAAAGAAGTTTAAATCCTTCGTGATCTCCAAAATGAAATGTTTCGTCTTCGTCTTTGGCTATCCCAGCTATTATCGATAGTACATTTAAGACATCGTTCAACGACATATTTTGACATTCATTAGTAATTGAATCTAATATGCGTTTGGTATCATTCGACGTTAGTGTCGACGATTCATCCATTATTTTTTTCACTGGCAGTAGATTTACCGACCTATAAATTTCTAAATATTTCCAAAAGCTTTTTAATTATATTAGAAATCAATGTATTACAAAAGGGAAGAACTAATATTATCAAATAATAATTTTCTAAAATATTACACAGTTGTAAGAACCAAGCAATAAGACTCCGTACTCAACGTTTTTTAAGAAAACGAAGGGAGAAGTTTCACATGCATCCTTATAAACCAATTCGTTTTATGTTAGATGGAAAAATAAACTTAGTTCTCCCTTTGTAAAAGAATAATGTATACATTATTTTAATGGTTTTTAAGCCAATTAAATTACCTGCAGATGTGTTCCAATAATTCTGTGAATTATTAAAATAAATTCTATTTTTTACTTTATTACAATTTAAGAACAAGGCTCGACTTCGCAGAGTCCACGACACCCACATTATTTGTTTTAAACATTTGTCCATGCTATAGAACATACATAAGAAAGTTTTAATATTAATATTTCATTATTATTTATTATTCTGAAAATGCAAAATACCAGAGAAAGATGGATTTTATAATTGAATGATCATATATTACCTGTATTTTGTTTATTTTATTTTTAAAATAATATAATTAAACAAGTATTGCAATCTATGCTTTTTATGATGATTATTTTATTATTGTTATCATTTTTTATGAGCTTTTATTCAATATAATCAATATAATTACAAAATAATTGCGAGGTTAGAAAGTATTAATATTTATATATTTAATATATTTAATGAGAAGTATATTTCATATATAATGATGTTTCATATTAATTATAAATTAAATTCATATATTTTCATATTTATTTTTTTAAAGGTATAAAATATGATTTTTATGTTACTTTTTTTTAAAATTAATACTTTATATCATACTTTAAATGAATACAAAATGTTTGATTTTATTTTACACGAGGTTATTCGAGTTTGTTATGTTGGTATGATTGATATTGCAATTCTAATGTTGGCTGCAGTGTTTAGGCTGAATTTACAAGTTGAACAAAGTTTTTTTTTTTTGTAATTAAATTTAACATGTAAAACAACCTTAACATTTAAACCTAATTTATTTCAACATTTCTAATCTATTTTAAACTTATATTTCTTTGTATTGATATATTAACAAAATATCGATTATTAAATCTTTATTTAACAAAATAGAAAACAATATATCTATTTATATTTAACTATTAATGTTTTCTTTTTAATCGTTTTGGTTTATTACTTTCTGGCAATGTTAACAATTTGGGTTCTTTTCCTTGATTTGTATCTTTTCTTTTCAAAGAGGGACTGGAAGGTTTATTTTTATTATCAGTCTCAATGATATTATTTGCCTTTTTGTAAAGCTTAGAATTTTCAAGGACCCATCCGCTGGTAATTGTTCTACCTGTAATAGAAAAAGTTATTTCTAATTTATCTAAATATACAGATGAGTCTAAAGATACGATAAATAGGATAATGTATTACCAAAAAATTCTTTTTTATTTGTATTAAATATTGCTTTGGATGCATCTTGTATGCGTTTAAAGTCTATGAACGCACAACCAGCGAGCAACTGACTATGAAGGATTATTTTTTCTATTTCTCCATATTTTTGATACAACGTTCTAATTTCTTCTTCTTTTATCTATTAATAATAATAATCATATAGAATTAAATTTATATACATAGAGAGAAAGAAAGATAAAATCATTATCATTTCATACTTCAAATGGAAGATTACGAACAACAATCCTTGTTGCAGTAGTATTTAATTTTTTATTGGTGTCTTCATTTCGTGTTTGATTTTCAGCTCGTTTTAATTTTAGTTTCTTTTTATAAATCCAGGACAATTTATTTTTGTGAAAATCCTTTCCTATTGAACATAATAAATATGATATTAATAAATAATTTCACATAAATAAATAATAAAAATATATATTGCTAAGTGTTCTTACGTTGCTTGGTTCTATCCATTTATTTACAATTTCATTAACTAAATATAAATATTAATTATTGTTGTATGTAACACACAGTATACAAAAAATATATCTTCAAGTTTAAAAATATGATATATTTTAATATTCAAACACAAAATATTATCTTAATTAACTAGATATTTTTCATAAACTTTTTCTTGAAATACTTTATCAAACACATGGTATAACCAAGATATATTATATATACATACTACTTTGCTACAAATATCAGACTACTTCAAGTAATTCTAAATTTGAATGAAGTGAAGTTAACCATAAGATCAAAGGTAAAACGAATAAAACGATAAACGTGTGAAACTTGAATTATAAATAATTTCTTCAATTTGATTGGCCAAGTTTTAAATGATGACCAATCATATTCGAGACATACAATATAAAGGTACAATTGAATGCACTCATTGGTTATCGCTAAACTGCATACTTCAAATTAAACGGTGATACAATCGATATCATGGTTAACTTCGATAATATAAAAGTATGGCCGAAAGCGCATTTTCATTTGTGCTCAAGCAAAATAACAAAACAATACGTTAAGATTTAATATTATGATTGAGTTAAAAGTATTTTATTGTTTATTCTTGTTATCATTTTTGGATTCAACCTCACAAATTCGACCCTCCTTACATGGACATAATAATGGTAAGCTCAATTTCTCTTATGTTTTGACATCAACAATTTCTTACTATGCATTTTGTAATACTTTTTAATAGATATGCATTAATTATTCCTATTTCTTTTTTTTAAACATTAATTATACATATTGACGTATCACAATTGCCATTGTTACGTTTAAATTATTATCTTGTTTCTTTTTTTTTTCTCTTTTCTTGTTTTTTTTTTTTTCTTCTTTTCTTACCTTCAAGATTTTATAGATCTATTTAAAATATTCAAACAGCCATACTGCATTTTGATTTATATTTAATGTTAGTATGTAAATATCTTGTATATCGATTAATACTAACCTCTTTGTAAGTTTCTAGTACTTTCGTGCAGCATATATATGTATAAAAAGAAATATTTCTTTTTCTGTCCTTTTAATGGAGTAATAATATAACCTTATTTTTTCTCTTATGATATGCATTATTTATATGCAACTGTAGTATGATATATTGTTAATGTTATATCATTGAATTTTAGGAATATACATTTAATGCTTATAGAAAATAAATAAACTTATTTTTCTTTTTTTTATTAATATTTTCTTATATTAAATAGTGTAATTGTTAACTAAGTATTACTTATTATTTTTACAGCATTCGTTCAGGATGACAACGATGTTCAATATCTTTTGGATAATATACCATTACCTATGCATAAGGTAGATTTGTAATGAATATATTTATTGTTTTCGTTACAATTATTTCAATAATATTTTATATTATATATATATATATATATCATTATATATTTTGTTTTAGGACTTTACTAATACAGTGCACGGGGTTGGGTAAGCATGACCGTAATAATGGTAAATAGGAAAGATATTTAATATAAAGGGCGTCTGAGATTTTACCAGTCATATATCATAATGTGCGCAGTAAAGAAAATGATTTTCTCGATAACTATATTTTTCCTATTTTTCATTGAAATTATAATTCAAATATTTTAAATCATCAAATGATATTTAAAGGGATACTGTACCAGATGAAGATAAAGTACAAGATACATTGTCCCATATTTATTTCCTACCCCACGTTTTGGATTTTAAAGAAAGGTATTTATTTTTGATCTTATACATTGTCTCATTTAAATATTTAATAATAATTGATTATATAATATTTGTAGACAACTTGGTATACCCCATAAAGAAACTGTGATGTTAATTAATAAAGACCATAATAGGACAATTCATTTATCATCTATTTCTGGAAATACTCGTCATTTTCATTCATCATTTTTCCAAGATAAAGTAAGTATAAATATATATATATATATATATAATATTTGTAGACAACTTGGTATACCCCATAAAGAAACTGTGATGTTAATTAATAAAGACCATAATAGGACAATTCATTTATCATCTATT